TTAACAATCTAGAAAGGTAAAGCTGATAAAAGGGTACCATATTTTGGTTTATTTTAAATTATATATTAATATTTTTAAATGTAAACTTAGTTAATAAGAGCTGGTATAATTAATATTTTACATAAGTAGTCTCATCTCTTAGAAAACAGTAAATTGAGTTTTACATCATTACTATTTCCTTGGGAAGTTCTCTAATATTTTATGGGAATATTTTAATAGATCCCAGGAGTTTTGAAATACTGCTTCCCCTTGAAATATTTTCCATTTGATAAAAATAATAATTTCTCCTGGAAAATGAATTATTTCAGAAGTTTACTGAGAGCCTATTGTTAGGAAATGAGATTTTAAAATCCAGTGTCTTTAAATGACAAAAATATGTCAGGAAATGAGTTTGAAATAAATCGCAGAAAATAGTGCCAATGTGGATGGATATGTGTGTATCTCTTACATATGTTTTCTTTTAAGAGGACGAATATATCTATGCATATATGTGCATATACATATATATACACAGACACACGTAGGTAGCATACCTACATTTTAATACACACATATACCCACTTCGCTGGGCCTAAACATGCACTAGCAAGTTATTTTAGGGCTTCAACTCTTCAGAAAATCTCATTATGTGAGGAGCGAAGTGGCTCTGCGGGGAGCATTATGGAAATATCTGGGCTTGATTTAATGAGGCTGTTCACATTGGTGGAATATCAACTTAACAGAGAAAAGTCTACCCAGGGCGTCCAAGTTACCAAAATGAAAATTGGCAATTGAGATGATAAGAACGTGGCTTTCTTCTGTGAAATCACTTCAGGTAACAGAGATAACATTAAATAACATACATTCTATGCACCAAGAACAATGTTTTATGTACCGAGTCTCTTATCCGTCTCTCCTAATGACTTCCCTTAGCGGGTTGTTAGTACTTGACAGCAGGTCTCCGTGCGGGGAACTTTTCTCCAATTCCACATTCAAAGGAGGTCCATCAGAGAGCATGATTGGCAATTTTCGTCATAATCTGCACATTATTAGCATCAAAATTGACGTGGCAGTTAACACTGGTGGGTTTTGATGTACCTTTCTTCAAGTTCAAGGAAACCCCTCCTGTAGCTGGGGTTAGCAGAGCGGGTCTCAGTAACCCAGCGCTGGCTTTTCAGAAAAGGCGCAATAGACATGCGTGGAAAATATGCCAAGAACCGTTTTACCCGAGGAAAAGGAAAGCGAGGAGGGAAGGGGTCGAGGAGAATAGAGCTCGAACTTAGAAAAGTGTCTAAGGAAATGTTTCAGACAATATACACCTAGAGATTCAAGTATTTCCCAGATCGAGTGGAACCCGGTACTAGTTGGAAAACTGAGCTGGACATGCCTCTCCGTACACTACAGTGATCTGTCAATCTTGCCCTCATCTTTCCTTCGTTTCCCTTTTCCTTCCCTGACCCGGCTGTGGCAACCTCATTAGCCGTCATCTCTGCATGAAAATATGCAAGACACTTCCATTTCACCAGTAGCCAAACCAAAGACCAAAAGAGAACAGTAGCGGCCCGAGGAGGAGGCGCGACCCCAGCCCCTTCCCACCTCGTCTTTGTCCTGCCCGGCGAAGGCGGCTCCGGCGCTCCGGGCCTCGCTCCCGCGCGCATTACGCGCTCTTGTCCCGGAGCAGCCGCAGCCACCCGCTCCGCCCCCTCCCGGCCTTCTCCCGCTCCGGTTCTCCGGCTCGCCTCGAACAGGACCCCTAACAGGCTCAGGTGGAGAGAAAATGTGCCACCTCCTTCCACCCTCGTTAGAAAAGAAAAGAAGGCTAGAAGAAAAAGAGCAGCAGCATAAACCTCGGGAGTGACTCCTCCTCCCCAAGCACTAGTGCACCCATTCCCCTCCCCTTTGTCGCGGTCATCCATTGCCTCTGGCCACGCGCTTGAGCCCCAGACCCCGGGCTGCGGGCGCACAGGGGGCCTGGTTTGGGGGCGGGGAGATTGTCTTCGGGGGAGACCAATAGCTCTGGACAGCGCGGGAAGTGGGGCCCGGACGTCGGGAAACATACAGGAGGGAGAAGAGGAGAGACGGCTGGATGGAAAATACAAAAATAGAAATAATTTGGGGGGACGCCCACCAGGCTTTCACACCAGCTCCTTCCCCCCAGGTCACCGCAGGTTCCTTCCAACCTCTCGCGCCCCGGGGCGCCCCCTGGCGGCGGCGATGGCAGCGGGCATCGCGCAGAAGGAGCAGGGGGCACACACGGGGCGCCCAGGGAGCGCGCAGAGGGCAACGGGGGCGCACAGAGGGCGCACAGAGGGCGCACAAGGGTCTCCCGGACCCCGGCAAGCGGCAGGCGCGGCCCCCTGGCGGCGGCGACGTAGTTATCTGGTCAGCGGCGCTTCATCTCTCTGGTCTGGAGGACTCACCGCGGTCTTGCTGAGGACCGCGGCCGAGTAGGGCAAGAAGCCGCTCTCGGAGCGCGGCGCCGCGGCGCTGCAGCCGAAGTCCGAGCCTCCCGCGGCCCCCG